AACAGTCTCTGGTCCCGGCTGTGAGGAGACGGACGGCCTCACACTGTGCTGGTGGGAAGGTGCCGTGGTACCAGCCGCGGAAGGGCATTTGGCAACACCCGCCTGTGTATCTGCTCCTAGAACCTGCAGCCCCACTTCTAGGAATCCACCCCACAGATACACGCAAACGGCACAGGAAGACACAGGACAAGACATGGGCAGCAGCCGACGCCGGGGACAAAGCCAGCGCCCGCCCCGAGGCTCAGCGGAGAAACAGCGGGACCTCCGCCGTGCGGTGCTCCGCAGCCATGAGCAGATGCGGAGCGCACCTCAAGACACGAAAGCAGGTTACCAAACGGCCCAGCGATTCCACTGCTGGGAACGCACTAAAACGATGTGCGAGCAGGACGGGAGACGCGTAGGCCCATGTTCATGGCAGCGTTATTCACAGCGGCCGAAACGTGGAAGCCACCGAGCGTCCGCTGACGGATGGATGGGCCTGCGAGAGGTGTCCCGCACGGGCAGTGGGTGGCACTCGGCCTTAAACGGAAGGCGCCCCGCAGGATGCTGCCGTGTGGGTCAGCCTGGAGGACCTGATGCTCCGTGAAATCAGCCCGGCACAAAGGGCGGGTGCAGTGTGGCTCCGCTCCCACCAGGTCCCCTCGCCTCTCACATTCTCGGAGACAGAAGCAGAGCAGGGGCCACAGGAAGGAGGGGGCGGGGGACAGAGGCTGGAAATGAGTGTTTCTCGCAGGGACAGAGCTTCAGTTTTACAAAACCCAACGCCTTTGGAGATGGAGGGACGGCGGTGATGGTAGCACAGCAATGCGTGTACGTCACGTCCCCGAACTGTACCTTCCAAATGGTTAGGACGCGAGCTTCCTGTTATGTGCCTTTTACCACAATTTAAAAAAAGAAAAAGGAAGGAGGATGATCGCCACATACGAACAGTGTGGTTCCCGCACACAGTGCCGAAAGGAAAGCACAGGACGGAGAGACGTGCGTGCGATGTCCTATTGATCTAAGAAAGGAAAACAGAATATAAATAGATTTCTTATAATTAAAATATAAACGTTGGTGGTTTGAACAAAAAGAAGGAATGGGGTAGAGAAAAAGAACAGATGCTAGCCCCCTGGGGTGGCTCAGTGGTGGAGGGTGTTGACCTAGGAACCAGGAGGTCAGGGTTCGACTCCCAGTCAGGGTACCTGCCCGGGTTTCGGGCTCGATCCCCAGTGGGGGGCGTGCAGGAGGCGGCCGATCCATGATTCCCTCTCCTCATGGATGTTTCTCTCTCCCTCCCTCTCCCTTTCTCTCTGAGATCAATTTAGAACAATCCTATCTCTGTGTTCTGAACAAGGCCCAGTGTTACCGAACAACGCAAAAGCCATGAGTGCTTCTAGGGCCCAGATGGGGGCCTATAACACCATCTTCAAGAAAAAGAACCAGGGCCCTTGCCGGTTTGGCTCAGGGGATAGAAAATATGACCACCGATCATTTTGCCAGAAGGTATGCCTTCCACAACATGATCCAGCCTCAGGCTTAACTCCAATGAACAGGAAATCTAGGGCCTGAGGCACATAGCAAGTAACAGCACACAGACAGTCAGCAAGATCCACGCTGCGGAGGGCGGCGAGGGGGTGGGGGGCGGTGGAAACAGACGGGAAAGCCAAGAGAACAGAGACATGCTAACCAGTGCATATTTTGTC